GAGGAAAGAAGAAAGAAAGGCTCACTTGACCAACCAGTATATGCAGCAGGGCAGCAGGAATGAGAGCACTCCCTGCCAATGCCATCTTAAATCAGTTTCAGCCTGCAGCCGGGGGCTACTTTGTGCCTGCAGTTGCACAGGCTCAGGAAGACCTCCTTATTACACGCCGAACCAGCTAGCACAGATGAGACCTAATCCACGCTGGCAGCAAGGTGGGAGACCTCAAGGCTTCCAAGGAATGCCAAGTGCTGTACGCCAGTCTGGGCCACGTCCAGCTCTTCGTCCAACTGGGTCTGAGTGTCCGGACCGCTTGGCTATGGACTTTGGTGGGGCTGGTGCCGCCCAGCAAGGGCTGACTGACAGCTGCCAGTCTGGAGGTGTACCCACAGCTGTGCAGAACCTAGCACCTCGGGCTGCCGTAGCTGCTGCGGCTCCTCGGGCTGTGGCACCATACAAATATGCCTCCAATGTTCGCAGCCCTCATCCTGTGCTACAGCCTCTACAGCCCCCACAGGCTGCAGTCCATGTGCAGGCTCAGGAGCCCCTAACTGCCTCAATGCTGGCTGCAGCACCCCCACAAGAACAGAAGCAGATGCTGGGAGAACGTCTGTTCCCACTCATCCAATCAATGCATTCAGCCCTAGCTGGAAAGATTACAGGGATGTTGCTGGAGATAGACAACTCTGAGCTGCTGCACATGCTAGAGTCACACAAGTCTCTCCGCTCCAAGGTGGATGAAGCTGTGGCAGTTCTACAGGCTCATCATGCCAAGAAAGAAGCTGCCCAGAAGGTGGGTGCTGTTGCTGCTGCTACCTCTTAGACAAGGAAAAACGATTCAAAAGCCAAATAACTCCCTTCTGGATTTCAGCTCATATGAAGACTTCCTCGCTTGTCCTATGGACTTCAACATCAAGAACTACAAATTGCAAGTTTAATAGGTCATTTTGTATCAAAAGGTCAATTATGAAACATCTAGATTTTTCAATTATATAACTATTGTCTGGATTCTGCTGTAGCCCAGGAAATTTTTTTTCTATTGTGGGTTTTGGTTTTTCCACCCCCCAAAAAGTGATTTTATTTGATGTACCCAAATCTTAATAAAAAAGAAAAATCCATAAAAAAAAAGAATATGTTGAATAGAATATGTGGAGTACGTTTAACAGAATATGTAGAATATGTTTAATATATTATGTTTAATATGTGTAACATAATATACGTTTCATATATTATGTTTAATATGTTTCATATGTTTATTATTGATGTTAGATGGATCTTGGCTGAAAGCAGGGAATACCAGAGGAATGTCTATCTGTGCTTCATTGACTATGCAAAGGCATTTGACTGTGTAGATGAT